CTCTGTAAATGAAGTACATTCAGACTAACAAAAAATTTCATGATTTGGGACCCAGGAAAAATATAAATTTCTGAATTTAGAATCATTTCAAGATCCTGATACTTCAAAAATGACACCTGCAGACTTTCATTTTAGTTGTATAACAATATTATTCTTTGGCATAAAATTCTTTGTAATGGTCATGTGGAGTAACCCGTAGTTTAGGTAAGCTGTGCGTGAGTACCACGATGTTAGGCTTTGATTCTCACTTCAGCCAGGAGAATTTTAGCTTGAAATAAAATTGCCTACTGGTCTACCGAGTGTTGTGAGTTGAATGATGTCAAGAATGAAATTGGAAGTCTGATCAATCACAGAGTAATATTAGAATTATATAGAACTAATAAAATCTTTAAGACATATTCTGGTACTGCATCAAATAGTAAGGGCTAAATCGAGTTGCTTGACTCTTTGCTGGTTCAGAATCCTAAAAATATTTTCTGCAGTATTTTACCAAAAATTTAAATCAATTTTGATATGCTGCGGAATGGCTATTTAAACTTTTTGGGAACACTGTGTCAATACTTTTCTTAACTTTTGGATGATTTTAGCAATGCTAACAAGTTGGCTTTATATATTTTTTAAAACATGGATTTCATAAACATTATGGTGGACTTTGAATAAATTTCAGATGAGATTGACACATCACTTTGATTTCAATAGCATTATGTTAAAAACATGATTTTTTGGAACATTCCAGATTTTTCCAGATTTTATATTTTGACTGGTCCAGATTTTTCTGAATATGACCTGGGAACGCTGCGTACAATACTTCTCATAAAATTCTTAAACTTCCCTAACGGTCATGAATCTCCTCTAAAGGTTCAACGGTTCACTAAAGTTATCTAAACTTCTTTAAAATGTCTGTGATTTCTCTAATGTTTACGGAACTGCTCTGAAGTTATCTGTTCTTTTCTGAACTTCTCTCTAAAGTTTTTGCAGTCTCATGAATTGTTGTACTGCGCTGAATTTAATTGAACCGTCCTAAAACTGTTTAAGCTTCAGTGAACTCTCTCAAGTTATCTGAAAATCTGGAAACTGATTTAAATTTCCTACGATTTTTCTTAAACTAATGGAACTGACCTCCCCCAGAAATTACTCTAGCTTACTAAACTTTTTTCAAATGCTCCCGCTTATATAAAAATGAACTTCTGTCGGCGGAAAAATTTTTATGCAGTGGTTTTTGGGGCAGGGAAAGGTTCTTATGATAGTTCGAGACCCCTCCCCCTCTATAAAGGGGGGCTCCCATGCAAATGAAACAGAAATTTCTGCATAACTCGAGAACTAATCAAACAAATGGAACCAAATTTGGCATGTGGAGGTCATAGGGGGTAGCCCCTTAGATAAGAGGGGGGGGGAGGGCTACGTTCAAAATAATTTTTAATTGGCGATAAACTCAAACTAATATTGAATCCCGAGCAACGCCGGGCACTCAGCTTTTTTTTTTTTTTTTTCCTTTGGTTTGTTTTTTCCGTCGATCTTGTTTTCCGTGCTGAGCGCCAATGCTACCGACGTGCCAGGAAGGCAGCTCCCACACCTGGAACCCTACCTATCGACCCATCAACTCATGAACCGGGGACCAACGGCTTTGCTTCCCATCTGAAGGAAGGCGTGATCAGAGATGTTATGCCTCAGAACATCCCGGCGGCGCCGACTGGGATTGAACCCAGGCCTGCTGGGGTGAGAAATAATCACGCTTACCACTACACCACCGGCGCCGTTGGCACACTCAGCAAGTGTTCATAAAAATTCATGAAGTTCGGTGATTTTCAGCTTAAGCTCCACAGATTTCTATGAAGTTCTCGAAATGTTTCTGAAGACCTCTGTAAATTTCTGGAACTTTTGTGCGCCCGCAATTTTTCATGGAACGAAATAATTAATTGATGAGTTCTCAAGATTTTTCTGCAGTTCATGAAACTTCCCTTAAATTATGGACACTAATTTAAAACTTTTTCAAGAGTCTAGACTTTCCTGGTGTTATTAAAACTGCCAAAACGATTACTGAATTTCTTTAAAATAGACTGCCCTGAATTTTTCAATATTTTTAAGAACCCGCAACTTAACTTAAAATAATTGATTTGCCTTGAAGTCTTTAATCAAAAATGCTCTCAAGTTTTCCGGATTTTCATATATTTTTTATCACGTTCCAGAAATTCTCTCGGAGCTTTGCAGAAGTTTCCCGAAATTACCGGAGTTTCTTGAAATTTCTTTAAGGTTTCTACAATTTCCTTGAAATTATTTGAGCTGCCCTTTGATTCTCTGATATGTCGTGATGTCCTCGAAACTTTCCTATAGCTCTCAATGGATCACATCATTCGAGCAGTTTAAAATGACGTTTCCTACCACTCTAACTTTGCCGTGGAACAATATTTTGAAGAAATTTCTTTTAGAACCTTGTAACAATAAAGTCTTATATATACCAAGCTAGAAAATCCTGGAATTTATTATTTCACTTTCTGAAAATCACTGGTAGAAGGTCACCTCAAAACTGCTCGACATTAGGATTAATTCTATTGAAGATCTCGATTTTGCTCCCTGAAATTCTCTAGACTTCTGTGATGGTTTGCAGGTTTACAGGTAAGTACTCTTACCTCTTACTCTGGTTTACAGGAAATTTACGATTATAGCTCTTTAAACTGCTCCAACAGTTTGGACCTAAGTTACGGGAACTGCTCTTAAGATGTGAATTTCCCCAAAGATTTCTAGATCTAGCTTTTCTGAGGTGCTTAGAACATCTTAAAAATTTGCACAATGTCCATAAAGTTTACTATAATTCTCGCTTGACACCTGTGAAGTTCTCTGAAATTCTAGGAACTTCATAAAAGTTCCTGAAAATTTTCGGATGCTAATAGGACCGCTTTGAGGTTCTTAAAGCTTTCAGTAAGTTCCCTTATGTTCCCGCAGTTTGTTTACGGAAGTTCACTGGAATTTTCAGCTTTTCCTTTCATTCCTCAGAACTTCTCCAAAGTTCCTACAATTGTTGTGAAGTTAATGGGACTGCAATGAAGACCTCTAAACTTAAAATAAATCATTTATTTTTTTTCTTCAATGCTGGTATTTTGTAAATTTTCTATATCTTGAACTTGTGCATGGAATACGAAACTTCAAGACATTGAATATTTGTAGATCGTTGACTTATTCAAAATAAGTAAGTTTTGTTTAACTTTATTAAAATGAAAAATTAAGTAAGTGTTAAACTTCAACATTCAATGTATTTGATTGTAAAGCTGTTTCTTTAAGAGTGATTGCCATGTCCTGAAAACGCTTGGGTTACTTGCTGTTGTTTTTATCTACCAAAAAAGCATATTTTAAACGCATTTAAAAATATTTTTTATTATAAGCCATTAGTACCGTCCAAATAACGCGTTCATCTAGATAAAATTGATAAATAGCAGCTTTTTACCGATGGGCCCAATCTTAGATCCATAGGCCATAATGAGCAAATCAGCAAAAGTAGGTTTGCCCATATTAATTTCCATACAGATGTCAAAAGAAATGCGGAAACCCGGGTTGCAACCAAGCGTCCCCAAATTTTGCACAGTTTTTTGGTACCCCAAATGGAATTCAAAAATTATTGTTCTGAAAAAAATGATCATAATGACCCACCCTAATAACCATGTGGATAAGTTAAAGAGGGGAGGATAGCGCTCAAGTAAAAAAAAAAAAATGGATTATACTCCATGTGGTCGCCCCTCAGAATGTTTTAAAACTCAGAGATTTAGAAAACATTTCAAATGTTGAAGCTGAAACAATTTTAGAGATCTCTTTTATTTGTTACAGTCTTGGAGTTTACCATATATTCAATTTCAAAATTTACCAACATACCTTTTTGAAAATTCGGAAAATTGATTTGTTTCTGTATGTTTGCATTTGAATCTCGTTGTTGAGAAGCATGTTAGTGGATCCCATACTTAAAAATAATGCAAACGGGTTGAAATATACTTTGGATTAACTCCTTATTTCATGTTTTAATGATTTTTTGATTTTAGTAATCGTCCATTCAAATGTGGTGTGACAAAAGCAATAGTATCTATTTGTTCCGGCCTAATAACTTTTCTAAAAAACAATAGTTAGGTAAATACAGTAGCGACCCAATGTTGCCAGCCCTCCGTGCATCAAACTTTTTAACATAACAGTAATTCCATATCTTTTTCACTCATCTCCAAGGAGGATATTTAAGGTATACTTTGGTACAATAAGACCAATGAAAAAGTGCATGGGTAACGAGGAACACTAGAAAAGATTTTCAAAAAGAGAGCTGACAAAATTGGGTCATTGCTGTACTGTCGATCCCATGAGGCATTTCGACAATTTTGAGATTTCAATGCTTAACGCCATAATTCGTACTTTTGGAATACTACATAAACACCAGTGCCAAAATTTTAAAAGGACGTAATTGTTTTGGCAAACAATTGCTTTAGCCATCGATTTCTCGGGAATAAAAGTTCATACAGCAAATTAACGACACCATCAGGTAGAGGAACGTTTCCTCTACCAGCTGGCCTCGATTATTAGCAGGAGTGAGCTTTTATTTGTGAGTAATTGGCGGTAGAAGTCATTATCTACAAAAACCGTTCGCCCTAATGAAAATTCGAAAAAATACAAATCGAATAAGTTCCACTAAATTTTTTTCTAGTGGGAAAAATATGCGTCCAATATTCAGGTGACACGAATCGACATGCTATTTTATTTTCGAAATTTATGTGTTGTACCATGGGACAGTTATGCGTTCACTGGAAATGTACTTCAATATCAAAATACAGTCTATTTTTCTACCAGTTAAAACGTCTCAACTGTACCGTAGAATCCCGTTAGTTTGAATAGGTAAAATTGTAATTGGCATATCTGGGGATATTTATCGATAAGCCTAATCTTAGGATTCCACGTCAGCATTAGCGCCCTTTCCCCTGTAATGTCTAAATTTATTTTAAATACGCTCTAAAAAAAACTGGAAACCCACTCACCAGTTGCTGCAGATTCTGTTGCGCCATGACGTACTTGTAGAATCGTTGGTTTCGATGCAGCAGCAGATAGAGCAGTAACGTCGCCTGGTCAATCGTCACAATTCGGCACAGCGTATTGTACAGGGAAGAAAAGTCGATTTTGAATGTCGCCACCTCATCTTTCGCAGAATCTGCTGAAATTATTGAACCATTCAAGCGATCAGTTCGAACGAAGAAATTCTTCACCACACACACTACCTTGCGAATCGGAACAACCGAAAAGACTTGCCCGGTATGGGTTGTCCTTCGTGGTATAATGGTTGGCCAGTATCAGGATCAACAGCAGACTCTGATTGGCCAACGGATAATGGTCCTTGAATGCCGAGGGTAAATCGTGAGCAGATAGAATGTCCGGTTGCTTTCGGGAGAATGTCAAAATGGACCACAAAGATTCCGCAATGCCGAACACGAACGAACCACCACTGCCGAAACCGAACATCGTCGATGGGGCCTGTGTCATACGACTGAGAAAGTGCAGCAGGGCACTCATCAACGTGTTCGCGTGCTGACATTTGTAGATAGTTCTGCAACAAAAAGTTTCATATAAATCGTATTCAAATTCAAGGAAAACACATTAATATCGGAACTTACTTGAAGATGGTAGATTTATCCGTCCTCTGTTGGGAGAATTGACTCACAGACAGTAAGACTATCAAACAATTTACCGCTTCCAAATGCAAATGATATGTGAATTCTCTGCATAGAAATAAAAATCAAGCTCAATGTATTACAATGACTGGATCAACATTCAGACACAGCACTTACTTGACAGGTATCACAACAATAATGTTAACCAGCGCTTCGAGAAACGTCTCAAATTTGGTTCCATCAACCAGCTTGGCTACGGCAGCCTTTGTATCTGCAATCACCTTCGGATCAATATTAACCGCCACATCGCTGCTAGTTTCTGTTGCTTGATCGGATTCTTCCTGCTCCTGACTCTCCTGGATGGGCAATGCCTCAAAGTGCTGCAGCAGCTGATATTCCGAGCCTGTCTCAATCATATACTTGATCAAGCAGCGAATAATAAACAGAGCATTGAATGCCTGCCAGATGTGAACCGTACTGGAAATATCGAAACATGTGAAACATATTTGCTATTCTTCCAGATCAATGGATTTTACCTCTCCGCATCGGATAAGGCTAACAGTTCGGAAACCTTCACCAGGTAAACATTTATCAGCGATCCAAAGTTCCCGGTCGAAAGATTGTGACTGATGAAACTCTGGCAGAGAGATTCCAGCCTCGAATCCAAACTCAGCTGTTCCTGGCTGAAAAGATATATGACAAAACAAAAATCATCTTCCTCGAATGAACAGTCACTGAACACAAAACAGATGTCTTCATTGGAATGCTGATAACAGAGCCTGTCGCAACAATTGATAAGCCGTTCTTGAAACATTCTTCCATTCTCCACTCACCTATTGGTCGGCAGATTGATGTGATACTGCAGGAAGCTGTTCCAGAAATCATCGTTGTACGCCGGAATATGCTCCTTGCCAACAAATCGCATCAGATACTCGTTCTCCGATAGATCTTCGTGGCGACTCACGTTGGTGCCCATGGTGAACCGGTTGGCAACAATCCCGCGCTACGGTTGCAACTCTCCGCGGTCGGATTGTCCGATGCCGTGAGGGAACAGCGAAGCACTTGGTTTGTGGGATTTTAAATCCGTAATCGAACTTCTATATATTGCTTGCACGAAATTGAGTAAATATAAGCACATACGCACACATCCCAGTCGCAGAGAATTTTGACAGTGCCACAGCTGCACAAAAATTTTGATGACGTTTCTCGAAACGCTAAACGTTCCCGGTGCGCGGTTGCACTCGGTTCAGAGAGCGAGAACGTAAATCAAGGGGGATTCGGTGTTTGAGTCGTAAGATTTTTACGAATTTTTTTTTATTATTATAATTTCATCTGTTTTATTATAATTTCATCTGACTTTATTTTTCCCTACAACTTTGCCTCAGACGTAATTTCGATTTGAAGTGACGTGTCATTGCTACGATGTAGATCCTGTTGAAAGTTTCCATAGAATCATGGAACCCTCTTCAGAATATCTGAATCAAAACTATCTTCTAATTCCACTATACAGTCGAAATTCGCTGGTTGGGCCACCACCTCGACCCAACAAACGAATTTCATTCGTTAGTTGGGCCGACTGACAAAAGGCTAAAAATTTTTGGGAGTGTGGGTATCCTTTATTCCTTAGGGGAAATGGATGTAATGTCGGCCTAAATGCCCCTAATTTGGGCCCATACATAAATTCAGCAATCGATTAAATTTTCAATAGCGACCAAAATATATACATTATTACAGTCATAATAACGCGTTCATCTAGATAAAATTGATAAAAGGCAGATTTTTAGCGTTGGGCCCAATCGTAGATCCATAGGCTAAAATTAGAACCTTTTCCGCTACTTAAAAAAAACATGAATTTTCGATCATCTGGAGGTATTTTGAATAATCCGGCAGTGATGGAAAAGTTCGCGAAAACTCACTATGACTCATGAACTTTTCCCTTGGTGAACTTCGTGAAATATCGCGAACTTTTCCAACACTGATCCCCGGTCTAGCTTGCATCTTAAAAGAATGCTTACGAGACGTCATTGATTTTTTATCAGTCCGAAACCTTCAGAATAATAATTGATCTACTTGAAGGCATCATATCCGAGAGTTGTCTCTTGCACTTTCAATCAGGTGGAGATCTTCAAACTAGCTAATCGTCATTTAGTCATACGGTTATTTGAATAATCTCTGGTTCAGCTGACATAGTGAAAAAAATTGTGAGGGATTATCTGATTGAATAGTTGACCAGTAGAAGGTCTTTTGAATAATTAATCTGAATTCTTGTAAAAATATTCAAGGGACTTTGAAATTCTCCAAAGCTCAGTGATCGTCTCTGAATTTGCATTAACTTCAAACAATTTGGGAGCACTTTGAAGAAGTACCATTCGGAGAAGAATTTTCAATATCAGGAAAACTGCAGGAGTTTAAGGAGAGTTCCGTGAATTCTAGGGAAGTCCAGAGAACTCTAATTTATTGAAAAGTTTAAATAACTTCTGAGGAGCAAAGATATCTTTAGGGAAGTCCCGACTATCGGGAAAGTTTAAAGATCTTCAAGAGAATATTCATACAACTTCGTAGAAAAATATTGAAAATTTCATCGAAGTTCTCGAGTTAGTTTTAGGAGAACTTAAGAGTAGTTCTGATGAGAAATTATTTCTAAGGAGAACTTCAGAGTAGTTCTGATGAGAACTTTGTTCTGAGGAGAAATTCAGAGTAGTTCTGAGGAGAAGTTCAAAGTAATTCTGAGGAAAACTTCAGAGTAGTCATGAGGAGAAGTTCAAAATAGTTCTGAGGAGAATTTGAAAGTAGTTCTGAGGAGAACTTCAAAGTATTTCTGTGGAGAGTTTCAGAGTAGCATGTCTGTCCAGTGTGGTCCTGAGTACTTAATATGGCCACCAATAATCTTATGTATGATGTTGAAAACTTCATCGAACTTCATAGAGTAGGTTTTATGAGAAGTTCAGAGTAGTTCTGACAAGAACTTAATTCTGAGAAGAACTTCAGAGTATGATGATGATGATGGTCCTACCTCTTACCCATACAAAGGTTTGAGCTGCACGATTTATCTTTAAGATAATTAAATGTAAACATTTTAACCAGGTTAGCAAAAAAATAAAGGAGAACTCCAGAGCAGGGGTTGAAACAGTTGACATTTTTTTACTACACTCGCTTCGTTGTCGTGCGTGAAAGTTTGTTTGTTTTCGTGCTCTCATGCTCTACTCTCGTCTCTCTTACACAACACAAATGGTAGAACCAATAATCAATACGAAACTAACGATTTTAAATTGGCTCACTACTTGACTAGCCTACTGGTCCCAAGCAAACGATTAACGTGCCCCATTCTAGTCGAAATTCTAGTACTACAAATGTTTGTTTTGATTCGCTATGAAAGTTTGACAGATAAAATGAGGGGTTAGTGGATTTTCTTATGTTTCGAGGGGTGAATCGATTAGCTTGGGACCGAAGATAGTACCAGAGCTGAGCCAAAAAGTTGAGCACGTTTTTTCGGGACCTTCTAGTCTTAGAGTTACCTCTATGGTACTAGAATTTCGACTAGAATGGGGTACGTTAATCGTTTGCTTGGGATCAATAGGCAAGTCAAGTAGTGAGCCAATTTAAAATCGTTAGTTTCGTATTGATTGTTGGTAACTCTAAGTACTAGCAACCGGTGGAAACTAAGAATTTAAAATTGGCTCACTACTTGACTAGCCTATTGGTCCCAATCAAATCTATTAACGTACCCCATTCTAGTCGAAATTCTAGTACTACACAATATTTGTTTTGATTCGCTATGAAAGTTTGACAGATAAAATGAGAGGTTCGTGGATTTTCCTATGTTTCGAGGGGTGCATCGATTAGCTTGGGACCGAAGAAAGTACCAGAGCTGAGCCAAAAAGTTGAGCACGTTTCTTCGGGACCTTCTGGTCTTAGAGTTACCTCTATGGTACTAGTAGAAACGTGCTCAACTTTTTGGCTCAGCTCTGGTACTATCTTCGGTCCCAAGCTAATCGATGCACCCCTCGAAACATGGGAAAATCCACTAACCCCTCATTTTATCTGTCAAACTTTCATAGCGAATTAAAACAAACATAGTGTAGTACTAGAATTCCGACTAGAATACTTACTTACCAATCAGGCTAAGGCCTTGTTGTCCTCTGCTGTCCGAAGAAGTCGTCTCCACTCAAGTCCCCGGCAAGGTGACAGATAACCTTAGTTTCACGTACCCACTTGCAAATCGTAGATGTCGCCACACAACGCAAACAGAGGGATTGTCCTTCACCACCGCAACGGTATTTCTCTATGGGAAACCAAATTTTTGCTTCACCATGTGTGGACGGCATACAACAGGCAAGAATGCCATATGAAAAGAGCGAATTTATGATTTTCGTGGTGAAATGAAATAAATCCATACAAATTAAACCGATTCATCTTCTTTTATCATCGAATGGCAATACAAATACTTTGGTTTCTTCAGTTGTTTTTTGCTCTTGAATTTGATCAGCCTTCAGATTATTGCTTCTAGCATAGCTGTGCGATGAAGGCTTGCCACTGACCGAATGTTTACTTGCCCGTGTTTTTCTTACGGGGTAAATAAATTAAAAAGTTTGAGAGGCTGAAATTGAAAATTAGTCATATTGAATAAAATACAACATTTTTAGCTTAAATGCATTTAATGTCTTGGACAGACGTACAAAGTACACCGTTGTACTAACGTTGTACTATTTTAAGCAAGTACCTCAAATTGTACATTTTGCAGTACTAGTTGCGTACACAGTATCCCCATAGAGGTAACTCTAAGACCACTGGGTCCCGAAGAAAATCATTATTATTTTTGGCTCACTCAGTACCAGAACAACGGTCCCAAGCAGTCCCAAGCTATTTCACTCACCCCTGCATGTTCTGCATGAATCCACACACCCCTGATGTTATCTGTCAAACTTTCATAGCGAATCAAAACAAACATAGTGTAGTAATAGAATTTCAACTAGAATAGGGTACGTTAATCGTTTGCTTGGGACCAATAGGCTACTAAAGTGGTGAGCCAATTTTAAATCGTTAGTTTCGTATTGATTGTTGGTATCCCCATAGAGGTAACTCTAAGACAAGTAGGTCCCGAAGAAACGTGCTCAACTTTTTGGCTCACCTCTGGTACTATCTTCGGTCCCAAGCTTGTCGAATCACCCCTCGAAACATAGGAAAAACCAATAACCCCTCATTTAATCTGTCAAACTTTCATAGCGAATCAAAACAAACATAGTGTAGTACTAGAATTTTGACTAGAATAGGGTACGTAATCGATTTGCTTGGGACCAATAGGCTACTAAAGTGGTGAGCCAATTTAAAATCGTTAGTTTCGTATTGATTGTTGGTATCCCCAACAATCAATACGAAACTAACGATTTTAAATTGGCTCACTACTTGACTAGCCTATTGGTCCCAAGCAAACGATTAACGTGCCCCATTCTAGTCGAAATTCTAGTACAACACAATGTTTGTTTTGATATACTATGAAAGTTTGACAGATAAAATGAGGGGTTATTGGATTTTCCTATGTTTCGAGGGGTGAATCGATTAGCTTGGGACCGAAGATAGTACCAGAGCTGAACCAAAAAGTTGAGCACGTTATTTCGGGACCTACTAGTCTTAGAGTTACCTCTATGGTATCCCCCCACTCCGGGTCTCGTTAATCCGACGACTCGATATTCCGACATCACGGTCTCTTATGGAGATTTTTTACAATGTTAGGTTGGTAACATTATTTTGTATTGATTGGACAGTCAGATTATCGGATCAACCTCACCTAACTTCACTAATCTGGCCACAATATCAATAATAGCAATAGCATGGCTATCACCGAAAGTATCCGCGCTCAATTCTCATTTGTTTCGATTAATTCGATGACAATCACATATTTTCGTTTTACAAATCATATGTTTAAGCATTTGGTTCTGTTCTGCTCAAAGACATACGAAACTACATAAAAAAGTTTCATAAACTGATTATGAATTGAGAAAATCAAAATGACATTTCTCGCTGGCATCACTGCACTTCCTATGTCACTAATGTTAGTTTTGACGTCGGAATTAACGTGGACCACATGCGCGTTCCAGTTTGGGGGGCGTGCGACAATAAGATGAATTTTAAACCTTTTATTTACTGT